CCATTCCCGGGACTGTGGTCTTCTTACAGGTGCCCCTGATATCTTCTCTCCACTTCCAAATATGGGGGTCCTCTCTGTTTGGAGGATGGAACCCTCAGGCTGTCGTCAGCATCTAATCAAAGCCTTCTAAAGAGGATATGTGGGGGCTGGAGCAATAGCACGGCGGGTAGGGCGTTTGCTTTGCACGCAGCCGTCCCAGATTCGATTCCCAGCACCCCATATGGTCCCCCGAGCACTGCCAGGGGTAATTCCTGAGTGCAGAGCCAGGAGTAACCCCTGAGCATCACCGGGTGTGACCCAAAAAGCAAAAAAAAAAAAAAGAGGATGTGTGTGTGTGTCTGTCTGTCTGTCTTTGTGTCTTTGTGTGTGCATGCACACGAGTACGTTTCCTGTGTCAGCCCAGACTGAATCCAGGCCCCTCGTCCCCACTCCCTCCCCAGGTCCCCCTGGATCAAGGCGTGCATATACACGTCCCAGGACCCAGGGGGTCCTGCTGCTGCTTCCACAGTCATTCAGGGGGAAAAAGCCCTGGCTGGTTCACCTGCAGAACAGAAGCAAAAGAGAGACTGATAGAGACGTCGGAATGTCCGGGAAGGGCAGGTGGAGGGGCCAGGGTGCAGGAAGATCTGTACCTGGTCCCGGGCCCCTCACCCCCACCCCACCTGCCACTTCCATAAAATGTCCCCCATCACTGCAACTTTGCTGGAGGTTTTACCTTGCACACAGGCCAGTCTTGGCCATGGCTCCAGGCTGAGAGGTGTGGCCCTAGGCCACATCCGAGAGCAGAGTTGTGGGTTCAGCGGTGGACACTGATGGGCAGGAGTCGGGGGCTGGCGTCTGGCAGCAGGGCCCGTGCCCTGAGCACATTGAACCCATTGTGGCATGTGGGGAACCCATTCCGTCCTCATTTGCTTCTCTCCGAGGCGGGCTGTGTGTCCAACCCTCGGTGGTGAGGAGGCTGTGCGGCTGTGCTGGTTTCCAGCTTCAGCTGGTCAGGGATGGGGTTGGGGGGCATTAGGGTTTGCCACCCCTTTGCCGCCCGCTGAACCTTCCCGCTCAGGCCTGTCTGCAGGTGGCAGCACCTGTGACCACACAGCCATGGTTTATGGCAGGTACAGCCTTGGTCTCTGGGCCCATCTGTACCTTTGTCTGCACCTGGATCCTGGTGGCTCTCTGGGCAGGGCCCTGTGGACCCTCCGCCCTGACTTCTGAGCTCCACCACCCCGGGTGTGAGCGGGGTTGGTGGCAGGTTTGAGTAGTGAGGCCTGCCAACCCACCTCCATCGTTTCTGGCAAGCCCCGTCCAGCCTGTCGGGCAGGGCGGGGATGGGGGGTCCATCCTGTGTGTGCCCGGCCCGCCGGCTCTCCCCTGGGCCTCATCTGCTTCCTCTTGCACTCAAAGCCTGTCTGCTGGCCCCTTCCCTCCAATTCCACCATCCTGTGTCCTGACCCCAGGTCTTGGTTTCAGGGCCCTCCCCAGTCTCTCCCCATATCTCCTGTGCCCATATCTCCTGACGGCCCCCTGGTTCCCCTCCGCATGGTCAGTGGGTGCTGGCATGGCAGGGAGAGGTGAGGGCATCGGACATCCCTGCCCATTTCCTCGCTCAGTGCCTGAAGGGAGAAGGGGGTGGGTGTGGAAAGGGGTTTGGTTCCTCCTGCCTGCTTTTGTATTTTGAGGTGGGGGAGGTGTACTCCTGGCAGGACTCTGGGGGCCGTGTGTCATGCCCAGGATCGAACCAGGGTCAGCAGTGACAAAGTGAGCAACTTCACCCCTCTGTTATCTCTCCAACCCCCACCCTCTTATTCTTTGTTTTGTTTTGTTTTTTGCTTTTTGGGTCACACCCAGCGATGCTCAGGGGTTATTCCTGGCTCTGCACTCGGGAATGACTCCTGGCGGTGCTCGGGGGACCATATGGTCAGCCGTGTGCAAGGCAAATGCCCTACCCGCTGTGCTATCGCTCCGGCCCCCACGCTCTTATTCTTCATGAATGAGAGATACTTGCCATAAAGCACGGTCAGTCATTTTGTTGGTTTAGTTTTATATCCATCTGTGTTTTGGCATTTAGGTTTGAGGCTATCCATAATTGTATTCTTTAAAGAATGAGTGTAGCGAGGCGGGTATCATGATACTTAAATCCACGTCCCCGTGGGCACACCGGCACCTAATCTAAACGTAGCTGTGGGAGCTCAGCCCACAGTGAACTCTGAGCTTTGGGGGCGGATGGGGCTGAGGTGGGGGGAGCAGAGAGAGAGCCAGGGAGAGAGTGACAGAGAGCAAGAGAATGCACTAGAGCTTGCTAGTGGGGGAGAACGAGGCCGAGAATGGGTGAGGGAGTAAAGGAGAGTTGAGAGGACGTGGGGGGGGTGCTGGTTTGCCACCCCCGCCCCCAAGCCCACGGGACGTGCCCAGGTCCCTTCCAGCACTCTCTGCCTCTGCAGAGTGCCTGGTCCTTCCGCGTGCCTTCTCCATCCACGGTTCTCCTCACACCACTTGCTTCTCTGGAGGCAGCAGCCACACTGCCCACCCCATCTGCTTCCCTCCCGAGAGGCCTCCCACCCCAGCCGGTCACCTCCCCGCCCAAGGTCTCTGCCCTCACGTCCAGAGCCCCCGTGGCTTCACGCGGCTCCCGGCCCCTCTTGGGACCCGTCTTGGTGCAGGCATAGTTGGGAGGACGGCCTTGGGGTCCACGGGATCAGGACTGTCCTGGGCAAGCGGGAAGGGAAGGCGTCAGCATCCTGGGGCCCCTGGTGGCTCTCCCCCGGGTGAGAAGAGGCTCCCTAAATAGGCATTTTCTCAGAAAAGGCAGCTCTCTCCTCAGCACCCCATTCCTTTACGTCCAGCCTGCCAACATTTCTATCTCACCGTGTTCCTGTCTTAATTACATTTTTTTTCTTTACTAGCATCCTTTATCCATTATTTAAAACAGCTATCAAGATAATTAGGCAGCATTTCCTCTGCCTCCCCGCCTTAGCTGCTCCCTTGTCTGTACCGGGTTTTTCTGCCCGTTGTCACGTGTATTTGTTTGTGCAAACAGCGGCTCTGCTGTCCCAGTGTACAGATCCGACGGGCAAAGTGCCGGGAGGGGGGGGGGCGGGGGGGAGGCCACAGGTTCCTCAGGGTCCGAGCAAACGTCGAACTCCCTTCCCGGTGGTGTTCATTGCCCGTGGCTGGTTTGGAAAAGCCCCAGGACACGCCTCCGACCCACAGCCAGCCTCGCGCTCTCCTTTCTTTAACGTCGCCTAATTTCATGCACGCTTTTCCGTGTAGCCACATACTCCCGCAGATCTATCATTTTAATGGCCGCTTAATATTCCATCCAGTTAGCGCGCCGTAATTTACTTAACTGCTCCCTGTTGTCGGGTGGGCCTTAATGAAAACTTGAATTTGTCGTGTAGCACAAGGGAAGCGCGTCCTAATGATCGCGGGGATTGCCTGCGTGGCCCGCGCCAGCAGCGGGCCCTCTCTGGTGAGAGGGGTCGGTGCTTCTGCAGGGGCAGTCAGTCCTGTGCCCAGGCCAAGCCGCCCCTCGGGTCTCTTAGCTTATCTTCCCTACCCCTCCCCCCCTCAGAGTTCTCCATCCAAGCCGGCTTCACGGAGCAGCGCCCTCTCTTCCCGTGTGACACAAAACTGTAGCAGGCAGCCTGGCTCCAGCTGCCTGCTGGCGGCAGTGGGGGGCTTGTGTCACTGAGCTGGAAGGGGCCCGGGGGCAACAGCAGTTTCTGACGTTCCCTGATCACTCACCCACCCCCACCCACAGACACTGGAGGTCCGTGAGAGGGTCAGGGTGCTCAGGAGAGTTTGGGGGCGGGGGGTGTCCAGGAGATGCCCCCGTGTGTGGCAGTAAGGCCCCGTGGGCTCGTATAAGGCCTTCTGCGTGCTGTGGAGGGTGCACTGGCCGCTCGCTGCTCCGGCTCGTGGGAGGAAGCCTGAGAGGCCAGTGGTTCCCCGGGCCACGGCATTCTCCAAAGACTGGAGGCTTCCGGCTCAGCTCCGGCCAGGGACCTTCGTGACTGACCCCATCCACCTTCCCCTGGCTCGGGAGTGACTCACAGACTTGGGGCTAGTACGTGACGTTTTCTTTTAATTATTATTATTATTTACCTTAAAGCGACTTGCCCTATCTTTCCTGACTCTTCGCTTCTCCTTCTCCTCCCCCATAAAAAAGGGAGCCTCATTTTCTCAGCTAATAGGATCTCAGTTTCCTCCTGCACTCCAAGGAAGTGGATTTTTTTCTTAAAAGAATCCTCATTTTGGGGGTTCTTTCTTCTTTGGGCTTTGAGGTATTTTGTTTGCTTTTTTCTCTTTTTGGGGGGGTTCATACCCAGTGATGCTCAGGGGTTGCTCCTGGCTCTGCACTCAGGAATTTCTCCTGGTAGTATTTGGGGGACGTATGGGATGCCAGGGATCAAAACCGGGTTGAAACTCCGGGACTCACAGGGGCCAGGCATGCGTTCCATCTGCCCGGCCCCTTACTGGGCTTGAGATGGAATGGACACGAGAGCTTCTCAAGCCTTGTCCCCCGACCCCCTGCTCCCCACCATCCTACCACGTTTCCTTCCTGCAGTGCCCCCCCTTGCCCCGCCCCTGGTCTCATGTGCGCCCCCCCCCCACGCCCACTGACATGCTCTTCAGCTGTGACCCCCACCTTAGGCTACCCTGGGAAACGCCGGTGTGGAGGGCATCTATCCAGTCTCCTCGCCTCTCACGGCCAGGAAGGGGGAGTCTGGAGCTGCTCGGGATTCCCCCTGACTGTGAGGAGACTGGACAAATGGCCGCTGAGGACAGGGAACTGCCCCCCACCCTCACGCACACACACGCACCCACACACACACTCCCCCAGTGCAACCCACTGAACCCTGCCCGTCCAGGCTGCGATGTGTCCAGGGCTCGTGTCCAGGGCTCCGAGAGGGAGGAAGCGGCTGGTGGCTCCGAGCTCCCTGCATGGGAGCCCACCACGCTGCAGCCTGTCCCACCCCTGCCCTCCTCCCCTCTGCCCGCAGAGTTCCAGCGGCAGGAGAGCGTGCGGTCCCAGCACAGAGGCATCCAGCTCTACGACACGCCCTACGAGCCGGGCCCCCCCAGCGTTGACTCAGACTCGGAGAGCACTGTCAGCCCCCGACTGCGGGAGAGCAAGCTGCCCCAGGACGACGACAGGCCTGCCGATGAGTACGACCAGCCCTGGGAGTGGAACCGCGTCACCATCCCCGCCCTGGCCGGTAAGAAGGACCCCGAGGCCCCCACCTGCTCTGTCCCCTCTCCTTTCCCATCCCCAAAATCTGTCCCCCTCACCCCTCCCCGGTTATGGGTGTGCAACTTCCATAGGTGATCCTAAAGAACTTGTCACCAAACCTGCCTCTGGCTCCTCCTTACCCCTGTCCGGGAGAAGCCCAGCAAAGCTCTGGCAGCTTTCCCTTCCCCAGCCACGAAACGGGGTGGCCTCAGCCCCGGTGGCCCAGAATCTCAGTGAAGATCTGGGAAAGCGAGCTAGCTCTGAGTGACCTGAAAGGTCACCCATGCTCGGGGAAGGCGTGCCGGGTTGACAGGTCATTAGATGTGAAAACGGCTCCGTGTGAAGCCACGGTGAGAGGCCGCGGGGGACCCGTCTGTGCCGGAAGGAGTGTGGTGGCGAGGCCAGCCCCTTTCCTCAGTCCCTCTCTGGCTGCGGGCTACCCACTCCCTGCCTGCCCCATCTCGCCTACTGTGCTGGGGGTGGCATCAGGCCCCGTGTCCTGCGCACGCGTCTGAGTCCCCCGAGGGAAACGTGAAACGCCCGGTTGGCGCTGTTGGGGCTCTCGAGTCAGTCTGTTCTGGGTACCAAGCATGAGAACAGGCATTACCAGTGAGCTCCCTGGGGGGACGGGATGGGGGGGGCAATGGGAACAACCTGACACCACCTTCAGGAAGTCCTCCCTGACACCACCATCCCCTCCCCGCTCTCACCCCAGGCCGGGCCTGGCCTCTGCTCCTGCCACATGCCACCCAAGCGTGTGTTCAGTTTTGATCCGTGTGGGCCCGCCAGAGGCGCGCCCGCGCGGCACACCCCTTTTGCCTGGCGCCCCCTGGAGTTTTAACACCTTCCCGCCGGCTTCAAGAGAGGGTAAAAGGGCAGAGAAAGGGAGGAAGGGAAGGTCCCAGATCACGTCTATTTCCTAAACACTTCGTGAGTCATCGCTGAGCCAGCCCGGATGGCCGATTGGAAATAGCCCCGGCAGGGTGGAGCAGGGGGAGGACAGGACAGGAAGTGAGGGCCCAGCGAGGCCCAGTTACGCAACCGGCATGGGCTCCCCCACCTCAGGTGAGAGCCCGGCAGGTGTGGCTCGTGCATCCCGCTGATGACTCTGCTCGGGGCTCCGCGAGGGCATCTCGGGCGCGGGGATGGCAGGGGCCCGTCTGAATCTTCCTTTCACCTGCGGGGGGTCTCTGAATGGGGCCGCGGCCGCACCTCGTGCCAAGCTCAGCCTCCTGGCCGCGCAGAACCCACAGGCTGGCCCCGTGCCCCAGGCCTCTCAGGAACCTGAGCCCTGCCACCACTGCCCCTGGCCCCCCTCCTCCTCCTCCTCTGTGTCGCTCCTCCCCGGCTCCCCTGACGTCCTGCCGCGCACCCCCCTCCTCTCCACACCCCCATGCAGGGCATTCCCAGCATGCTTTGGGCCCCGCGCGAGGGGAAATTCACCATTGTGTTTGTTCCGGGAGCTTTCTGCTCTGTAATGAGTAACAGTTGTAATTAATGTTTAACACGTGTGAACAGCAGGTCTGCAGCGAGGAGGGCGGGGGCGAGTGGGGGGGGGGGCGTGTTTAAAGGAGAGAACTGGGCTAATATGTTACGGAGGGACAGGTTTTTCCAGTTGAGTTTTCTGTTTGACATATAAATGAATTCATTTAGTAACCTGGGAAGGGGGGGAGCAAGTGTTTAATCGTTTTGATACATTCTTGATACATTTGCTAATGAGATTGATAGAGGTATTCCTTCAAATGCCTTTGTCTCCAGGAACCCCCCCCCCCCCACACACACACACATACACTGATGTGAGTGTGGCACTTGCCAGGCACTGGGGGCGTCTGTGGGCTACTTGTGGCTAGAGATTGTGACGCCTAGTGAGGTCAGAGGTTTGGCCTTGTCCCCCCACGGGCCCCCGCCTAGATCTGTGCCCGGCCCCTAACGCTAAGGAGCCCTTTCCGCTCAGGAGACCAACTGACCGGCCACCTGAGCTCCCCCCAGGACACTCCACGCTCTCTGCCAGCACCCTGCGGGGCGGCGGCCTCAGTCTGCCTGCTGGAGTGGCCAGGGCAAGGGTGGTCCTCAGGATGCCCCTGAGCGTGCGTGGGTCACTGCCCGTGGGACCCACTGCCTCCCTGGGAGTGGGGACACAGGTGTGGCCCTGGAGGCAGGGCGCCCCCTGATGGCCAGCCAGGTGGTTTGTTGCCTCCTCTCACCCCTGTGGAGAGACGTGGCCGCAGGCAGCAGCGCTGGGGCTTTATGGGTGGGTTGCTGGCCGGAGAGGCGGGTACCCCCGGTTCCTCTCCAGGCTGCTCCCTTGGATGTCTGAGGGTGAGTGTGTCCGGGACATGCAGGTTCAGGTGGCACAGAAGGGGCAGGAGTACAAGCCCCAGGCACCGGTTGCCAGGTGCAGGCTGCCGGCTCCTCGGCTAGGGAAGGTGGCAGCAGATCTGGGCTCAGGCGCGTGTGCCCGGAGTCGCTGGCTTCTGTTAGTTGTGTTTGTAGCGATCGCTGTTTGGGGGGGAGGGGCAGGAGGGGGACACTCCACGGTGCTTAGGAACAGGGGTGAGGGCGGGGGCTGCACTCCCAGCTCCACTCAGAGGGCAGCGCGGGTCTAATCTGCTTTCACGTGCTCTGGCCCGGCGGTGGGGGGGGGGGGGGGGGTCTCCATGGAGCCTGGGACCCGACGTGGAAGGCAGGTGCTCCAGCCCTTTAAGTTTCTCCCCAGCCAGAAACTGCCTTTCATAGATACCCAGGACGACAATAACACGTTTTTTGGGGGCTTGGGGCCACACCTGGCAGTGCTCAAGGGACCAATCCTAGCTCCGTTCTCGGGGACTCATTCCTGGCCGTGCTCGGGGGAGGATCATATGTATTGCCGGGAATCAAACCAGGGTGGACAAGATGGCACCCTAACCCCGGTACCATCGCTCTGGCCCACTAACAGGAGCTTTAAATTTTTGTTTGTTTGTGGCAGAGTGATAGCACAGCGGTAGGGCATTTGCCTTGCGTGCAGCCAGCCCGGCCGAGCCAGGTTCGATTCCCCCGCCCCTCTGGGAGAGCCCGGCCAGCTACCGAGAGTAACTCGCCCGCACAGCAAAGCCTGGCAAGCTCCCCATGGTGTATTTGATATGCCAAACACAGTGACAAGTCTCACAATGGAGACATTACTGGACCCGCTCGAGCAAATCGATGAACAACGGGAGGACAGTGTTTTGTGGCGGAACCACAGGGGCCCCATGGAGGCAAGTGCTGGATGACGGGAGCCCTCCCCGCGCCATCCCAGGGTTTACAGGGACCGTGTGGGCAGGATTTGCAGTGAACTCACTCAGGCCTCGGAGTCAGACAGTCAGGGATTGTGTGGAACCATTCGATTGGGAGAAACGCATGCCTCTTCACGGGGTTGAGGAGTGGAGTCAGGCTGAGCGGCCCGTGTGCCAGCCCTGGTGAGCCAGGAAGGCAGTCAGAAGACATTCGGAAGCTGCTGTGGCCTCAGCATTTGGGTACTGAGTCCTTCTTTTCAGGATTTTTCTCCTGGCGTGGCCTGAAGCCGTGCAGCAGCCACGGGGCAGGGTGTTTGCCCCTGGCAGGGATGCCCCCATTCTGTGGGGGTGGGGGGGGCTTCAGAGAAAGAGGGCATAAGCCTACACCTGGTGCAGGCACCACCTCCGACCCCCAATCCCCAGCCCAGGCACAATGCCCTGGTGCGGGCCATGTTCCCGGGGCCTCGGTCGCAGCTGGACGCCAGCCTCGCAGCCTCCCTGAATGTAGCCGGGCACCATCTGCCCTCACAATGGGGACCTCTGTTCTCGGGGCCCGCTTCCAGCGTGTGGCCAGCCGCAGCGCCCCAGGGCCTGTGCATGGCTGCAAGGTGCGAGCAAGCACAGAGGCCTCTGTCGGGGCCCGGGGGCATGGGCCAAATATTTGCCGTGCCACCAGCAGCCGGGTGCCAGGTCCAGACTCTGCCACTCAAGTGAGCTGGGGAAGTGGGTGCAGCCTCTGCCTTCCTCGGGGGCAGCAGCGGGGGGGGGGGGGGCTTCACTTCTCGGCACCTCCCTGCTAGGTGCCGCGCCCATGTGAGTTCCGAGAAACGGGGTGCCCCGGAACTGTGGGGCTATAACATCCCTAGGCATCTCCTGTTGGGGTTCATCTCCCATCTACCCCGTAGTTGGGGCCACGGCAGGAGACTGCGGGTCAGGTGATAGGACAGGACAGGAAGGAAACAAGGTCATCAGGGGAGCCAGAGTAGGGACAGGCTGCTCTGCGTGGCCCACCCCATGCTCTCAGCCCAGCCCAGCACAAGGGGGAACCAAGACTCCAGGTCTCTGAACCCCGAGTTCATTGGTCACTCTGCTCAGCCCCCCCCCATTTATTCCCTGGGATGCCTCGGAGGGTGTTGGTCAGACCATGAACCCTCTCCCCTTCTCCAGGCCAAGGCACCCCACAGCACCCCCAGGTGAAGAGAGGCCACCCAGGGCCTCCTGGACAGAGGAGTGTCCAGGACAGGGGTCCCCCGGGCTCTCCGGCAGGCACAGCAGCTAGTGCTGCCCCACCCACCTTACCTTCCGGCCAGTCTGTCCTTCCTCCACAGGCAGATGCAGGTTCTTTGATCTGTTCGTTGAGCTAGTCCTGATACCCGCCATGCTCCAAGCACTGGTCTGGCCTGCTCCGGCCAGGGTGGGGGGGGAGGGGGGGAGGGGAACAAAATCTGGCTTGTCCTCCCAGGCTTCCAAGTAGTCTGGCACTCCAGTGGACACTGGGGGAAGAAGATGGGTTGAGGCGGTCGAGTGTGAGGCCTTGGGCTCAAGCCCCAGCAGTAGGGCCTCAAGCACCAGCAACCCGGAGAGGATGCTGACGTGAAACCATTCTCATCCGACCACGGAGAGGGGCTCTCCTGGGGGAGGGGAGAGTCCCTCCTTTCCGAGGCTGGGCCCCTGCATGCCGCCTGTCACTCACCAGCTCCATAATCCAAGCCAGAGATGCAGCGCAGTGATGCCTTGCATGTGTGAGGCGGGGCAGGGGTGTCCGTCCTGACTCCAGGGTGTGTGTGTGTGTGTCTCCTGACTCCAGAGGGGTTGTGTGTGTGTGTGTGTGTTGCCATGGGTTTGAACCCAGGTCTCCTGTCTGCAGAGCATCTGCTTCACCACTAACCTGCCTCCTCCATCCACTCCAGTTTGAGCGCCCTGCCAGCCAACAAGGCAGCGCCGGCTCAGAGAGAGTTAGAGACTTTCCCCGCATCGCCCAGCAAAGGCAGAGGCTGACCCCACACCCGGCTCTTCCAGACTCCAGAGCCCACGGCCGAGCCACGGTGCTGAGCCACTGTGGCCTCACCATTCCCAGGGACACCACCTCAGGGCCAGCAGCATATCGTGCCAGGGGAGCTCAGAGATCATGGATCATGGGGTGGGCGGGGGAGTCAAGGAGGGGTGGGACCGTAGAGGGCATGGCTAGAACACAGGGCTCCGGGCTCAAGAGGACTTGGAACCAGCATGGCCTGCGCTGTGGGGAGGATGTGGAGCCCAGCGGGTCGTGTGGGGGCAGAGACATCCAGGAGGTCAGGTGGGCACTGGGAGAGCTGGCATGGCCAAGGCCCAGCGGGCAGACAGGAGCTGGGAACACGTTGGTTTCGTCTGCGTGGACACGACACTTCCTCAGCTCCGTGTCTGGAGGAGGAAGAGGAGAGAAATTCCCACCCCACCCCACAGGCGGATCAGGGAGAGGGGCGTGGGGCCCCAGGCTCTGAGAGGCGGACCATATGCCACTGTGCCATCCCCAGGGGCAAGAGCAGGGGCACTGGTACCAGGGCTGGGCTGGCCTTGGAGATGGGGAGCCACCAGAGCAGGAGGGAGCAGGGGGCGGAAGAGTGAGGACAGTGACACCTGCCGTCCTCAGTAGGGAAGGATTCCAGGGTAGGGTGAGCCTCGCCCCAGACACCCCAGTCCCGGACCTGCCCTAGCCCCTCAGAGACCCCCAAAGGGAACCTCATCTCTCCCCGTCCCATCCCAGTAAGGGGTGGCATCTTGGGCCTCGTATGTCGACAAGAATCGAAGTCGGGGGCCAGTTGGCATCATGGACTGGATAAGGAGTCCAGAGTGAGAAGTGCAGGGTCGCTCCTGAGCACCACTGGGTGTGGGACCACCGAGTACCCCGCCCCCTAATAGCTGTCACTGTCACTGTCCTCCCGTTGTTCGTCGATTTGCTCGAGCGGGCCCAGTAACGTCTCCATTGGAGACTTTGTTGTTACTGTGTTTGGCATATCGAATACGTCACGGGGAGCTTGCCAGGCCCTGCCGTGGGGGCGAGATACTCGCTGTAGCTTGCTGGGCTCTCCGAGAGGGGCGAAGGAATCGAAATCGGGTCGGCCATGTTAGCTGCATGCAAGGCAAACGCCCGACCGCTGTGCTATCGCTCCAGCCCCGCCCCCATAACAAAAATAATAAAACCTACAAGTTAGAGTGGGGCGGGGTCCCCCCAGTCTTGGCCTCTCAGCCAGAGGGAGGCAAGTCTCCTTGAAACGGGGGATTCTGGAGTACTTCGTGGAGGCTGGTCTTGGCATCCGACCAGGAGGTCCTGGATTCTCCTCTCCCCGAGGGCAGGTGAACTGGGCCCAGCCCAGACCGAGTCCCCAAGCCTGGCTGCCCCCACCTGTCATCGCCGGGGGCTATTAATGAGATTCTTTCTTTCGGACCAGACTCAGGGGTGGAGTGATTTATTTTCCCCTCCCTCAATGCAGATTTTCTTTTGCAGGCTTGTGCTTTTTTTTTTTTTTTTGCTTTTTTTTTAATCCTCTACAGAAAAATCACTAAATTAAAAGAATTGCCATTTTCAATTGCAGATTAAAGAGAAACTTAATTAGAAGGAACGAAAGCAGTTGTGTTTAGAGCTTTTGTTCCTAACCTGTTTTGTGCGTGTGTGTGTGTGTGTGTGTGTGGTTGGTTTTTTATTTTTTCCTCCCCCTGTGTGCTACTGAATCACTGTGCTTGGAGTTTGTGTGTTTTTAGGTGAAGTGATTTGCCTAATTAAGGCTGTCATTCATCACCACCTGTTCCTGCTAAAATATATGGCTAGATTATTAAGCTTGCAAGCGAATGTATGAATTAATTCAGTGGGGAATTACGGTGTTGACTAGGACGTTATTAGGTTTTATCCAATTTATCTGGTGCGAAAACCGATAGTTTTCCCAGTAACGCAGAACAGCAGCTCATTAAGTCTCTCTGCTCGCTCTCTGAGCGCCCGTGTTGTTGGGGGTATGTGCGGGAGGGAGCAGGTGGGGGTCAAAGGGCGGGCGCAGCTTCTGCTCCCGGGGCGTGGGGGGTAGAAGCTCATGCATGGGGAGCCAGACTGGTTCACTGGCAGCTAGAGTCCCTTGGCAGAGCCAGGTCGTCTGAGGGTAGGGTAGGTAAGAGGAGGCTTCTCCCTGGAAGAGGCTCCCGAAAGGACAAGTGGGGTCCACAGAGCGGGAGTCATGGTGAACCCCCCAGGCCAGGATCAGGAAGAGAAGCTGACCACCACATGTGGTGCCAGCCACGTACCGAGCTCCACCCCTACCATGTGCCATGTCTGCTGTGCCTGACTTCCACCACGGGCTAACCCACCTTCCGCCTTTCTTTTTACTGTGTTTTTTTTTTTTCCTTTTGTGACTTGGCTTTGGGGCCACACCCAGCAGTGCTCAGGACTCACTCCTGCCTCTGCTCAGGGGACCATCAGGGATGAAACCCAGGTCGGTTACCTTTGGGGCAAGCGCCTTAAGAGCTATCCTATCCCTGCTCACACGACCACCCATCCCCCCCTCATTTTGTAATCAAATAGCTTTTTTTTTCTTTTTTTAAAGAGTAGTTTTTAAAGAGTAGTTCATGATAAAATCGAGCAGAAGGGGGACTGCAGCGATAGCACAGCGGTTAGGGCATTTGCCTTGCACGCAGCCAACCCGGGTTCGATCCCCAGCATCCCATATGGTCCCCTGAGCACTGCCAGAAGTAATGAGCATCGCCAGGTGTGACCCAAAAAGACAAAAAAAATTGAGCAGAAGGCTCTGAGCGTCCCCATGATATCTGCCCCTGGGCTTCCTCTCCAGCCTCATAATCATGTTCAGAAGTGCCTGGGCAAAACTGTCCCCAGCAAAACTTGAGAGTCACTGTTCACTTCTCTGAGAATAAAGCCAAAGTCCTTTGCCAGCCCACCGTGTGTCCCTGATCTGGCCCTGGTGCCCTCCATCCAGCCCCCACCCCGCGCACGCGCGTGTGCACACACACACACACACACACACACCTTATTGCCCTAGGAAATAAACTCGCACTGGACTTTGCCTGTCACCTGTCCCCTGTGACTTCCACAGGCTGACTCCCCTCTTTCCCCTTTGTGTCAGCAGCGTGGGGTACCGTGACCCACACTCCACCCTTACCCTCCTTGCTAGGACCCCGAGCTCCATCTCTGCACCATTGCCCTGGGCTGTGCAGGGGTACCCAGGAAAAGGGGGTGCTCAGGTCTGAGCTGTGCTACCCTGCTGCTTTGACCAGTGCCCACAGTACATACCCCTCTGGCAGTCCAGGATTTTCTGTCAGGGTGTTGCCCTTAGCTCGAGGGGAGACCAGAGCCCCTCAGGCTTGGACTGGGGAGGAAGGAGCCTGGGTGGGGGGACCCCGCTATGCTGTGTGCAGCTCAGACCATACTCCAGGGTGCGTACGGTGCGGAGAGCCTTCTAGAAGCACTTAGCAAAGAGGGAGCTGAGACCCACCCCGCCCCCAACTCCGCAGGGTTGGCCCAGAGGCACCAAGTGAGGAGCAGCTTTGTCCCCTGAGAACTGTGCAGGGTGCAGAACTCCTACCTCCCCCCTCCATCCCCTCAGTCTCCAAGCATCTGCACACATCTCTTGCTCTCCTAGTATGGGGTTACAGGGGCTTCCTCCGGGAGCAGAGCGTGCAGAGCTCCTCTGAGACACAGCCAGCCCTGGGAAGGACCCTGCCCTGGTCTCTCAGGCCATGGTCATGGGGAACTATCCATTCCCAGCTGGGCACTTGGCTGCCCCCGTGCTGTGCAGCACTCCTCAGCACCCCTTGGGGTGGATCCTGGGTAACCCTCTCTCCCCCGCCCTCTCTCTCCCCCCTGCAGCCCAGTTTAACGGCAACGAGAAGCGTCAGTCCCCCTCGCCTTCCCGGGATCGGCGGCGCCAGCTTCGAGCTCCTGGAGGGGGCTTCAAGCCCATCAAACACGGGAGCCCCGAGTTCTGCGGGATCCTGGGAGAGAGAGTGGACCCCGCTGTCCCACTGGAGAAACAAATGTAAGTCAGGAGAGTGGGAAGGGGGTGGGGCGGGGGGCATTGGTGGCCCAACGCCAGCATGCGCAGTGGCATCAGCAGCAGCCTCACCCACTGGCCTGGCCTGAGCCTTCCCCTCCCGCGGCCACCAGCAGCCCTGCCCACCACCCGAAGGCTGACCCCAAGCGTGCCACTCTCTCTCTCTCCTCCCTCCTCTCTGCCTTTGCCCACCTGGAACCTTGTCAGCACCCTCCAAGGCCAGAAGCCTCAGTTCCCCCGCCCTGCAGGGGCCAGTCTCTGCAGCAGGACCCGGGGGGTATCCTGGTCTCTGCCCGGAGGAAACGCTTGCTGGCGGGGCAGGATGCTGGGCTTCCCGAGTGACCTCATGCTGCAGCCCCCACGCCCGCCGTCCCCAGCACGCACTCTGGGCACATGCGCAGCTGGCGGGAGTGGGGGTGGTCAGTTCTCGCCACCCTGCTGGGGGCACCTCGGGCCGGGCTGGCTTCACATCAAACATCAAACGCCACTTTTTTCAAAGATCCCAAAGGACGCGCCTCCCGGCGGCCTGGGAGCTGCCCCCTGGATTGCCCTGCCCTGCCCTGGCCATGGTCTGTGGGGTCAGCTAGCCTAGCCCTCGCCCTCCTCCCACCCTGGCAGGGGACGCTGGGGATGGGGACGCCAGGGCCTCCCACTCCCCGTTCCTTTCCTGTCTCCGCCCAGCAAGACTCTCGGCAGTTGGGACTGGCTCTGCCGCCCCTCTCGTCTGGCTGCCGACTCTCCGGGGATTATTCTGGCCCGCCGAGGCCCTGACTCATCACCCGAGAGGCACGTTGGGGTAAAGCCCCTCTTGGGCAGAGCCAGGTGGCCCTGAGCGGAGGCTCCCCCACTCCTCCACTGGGCTGGTGGTGCCCTAGAGAGGAGGAGACACGTGCGCCTCATGCCCGTAGCTCGGGGGGCGCTGAGTTACAAGGGGCTGCCCCAGATCTTAGCACATGGCCACACATCCTCTTGGGGACCCATAGCCCTAGCCTCCCTTCCTGGGACCGTGGGGAAAGATGCTTGCCACCCCCCCTCCCCCCGCCGCGCGCGCGCGCACACACACACACACACACACACACCCCTACACCTCTCCCCCCACACACACACCCGGTCATCTTCCATGCTCCTGCCACTCTTGCACACAAGCACGTCCTAGTTGCAAGCATCTTTGGTGTCAATATACGACAATATACGACCTTGGTCCCTCTTGTCCTCCGGCTCCCGCCCCCCCTTGAGAGTTTCAGCTGTCAGAGCTGGTGCTTGTCTGGGTGGCCCCTGCATCCTCAGTGACCAGCACCACCCTGACACATAATAGGTGTCTGTTTAACAGTGTCCAGTGACACCCAGCCCCTGGAGAGCTGTGACGCTCCCCTCCCACTCTCCCCACACCCTGCTGCCCCCCCCCCCCCCATATGCACACACTGCCTTTTACTTTATTGGTGTGTTGCGTGACTCCCAGCTGTGCTCAGGGCTTGCTCCTGGCCAGGGGTGGGCCACGCGGGTGGGGCAGCCCTCTGGCCCCACTTTCTCCAGCAGCTCCAGTCAGCAGGCCTTTTGTACCCAGGTGCCACCCCGGCAGCCTTCCTCAGCGGGTCACTTGAGCCCACCTGCTCCCAGTGGGATTGTGGGAAACTGTGGCAGCTCCCCAGGGGTGCTCCCCTCTGCAGGAGTTGAGAGAGACAGGTGGAGCGAGAGCTGTTTCAGCCCGTGCCCCACCCCCCCGCCCGCAGCCCAACCATGCTCCAGCCCCGCCATCTGGCCCCTCTCTGCTTCTCTTCCAGACCCCACATCTCGCCCCCTCCCCTTCATCCCTGCCCCACCTGTGATACAGGGAGAAATGCCCACAGCTTAGAGGGTACATCCCGCTGGGCCACATGCTGTGACCATGCCGGTCACAATGCTGGGGTCCCCCTGCATGCGGGAGTTTGGCACACATGCTGATGTCTCAGGAAAGTGAATCCTGACCACCCCCCCCATCTTGCCCCACCTCCCACCTCCCACCCCCCATCTCCCTGCCCCAGCACTTGCCCCCTGGCCAGCCTGGGCCCCTACACCAGACACCTCTCTGTAGTGGGCACTGCGTCCCACCCTCCACCACCCCCAGGTGGCACGCAGCCCAGCCCCGTGCTCCCTGCCTGCTTGTTCCCTCTGTCACTCAGCGGGTGGCCATGCGGGCATCTGGCGGGGTCTCTCTCTGCCCCCTCCCGGGACCTCCTGATGTCAGGGTGCTGGCCGGCTGCGGGCCCTGACGGTCTGCCCTCTCTCCCCAGATGGTATCACGGCTCCATCAGCCGAGGAGACGCCGAGAACCTGCTGCGGCTGTGCAAGGAGTGCAGCTACCTGGTGCGGGACAGCCAGACCAGCAGGCACGACTACTCCCTCTCCCTGAAGTGAGTGCGGGGGGCCCGCCCGCTCCCATGCACTCCTCCCGCCGCTGGAGGGGTGCCTGCCCCAGCTGGCGTCTAAGCTCGGCCCCCTGGGACCCAACCACCACCCTCGGATGAGTGTGTCCCTGGTACTGGGCAAAGAGACAGAGGCTCCGAGAGGGGGCGCGGGACGAAGAGCTTTCCAGGTGTCCTCAGGCTGCCGTGTTTCTCGGAAAATCCATCAGGCGTCCTCCTGGTGGAGCTGGGAGGGGGCTGTCCAAGAGAGCATGTGCCTTGCGTGCAGGAGGCCCTGGGCCTGGTCCCTGAAAATGGGAAGGGGACAAGAATCCTACTGCTGGGGCCGCGGTTCCAAGCTCTGGAACACCTGCTTTGCAGGCAAGACGCCCCACCCCCAGCCCTTCTGGGAGTGACCCTAGCACCTGTCTCCCACCTGGGGCCACACTCACTCCAGCCCCAGGGAAGCGCAGGGTTGGCAAGAGAACCTCACGCCCCATAGATGTTTCCTAGCCAGGAGGAAAGCGGTAAGGGCCAAGATTGGAAAGTCCCGGGAAGAAGCTCCTTTGGGTCCCAAGGGATTCTGCAAGTTCCGGCAGAGAGAGAGAGAGAGAGAGAGAGAGAGAGAGAGAGAGAGAGAGAGAGAGAGAGAGAGTGTGTGTATGTGTGTGTGCGCGCGCACGCATGTATGTCCCAACTAGGCGTGGGAAGGGGGCTCAGAGCCGGGAGGTTTGCCACCAGATAGGCAGGAGTCAGGCTCAGCTATGTGGAGTCCAGCCAGGGGACCCCAAACCCCCACGCACTGGGCCATCCCAAGTCCAGTGGGAAGAGTGTCCTGTGGATGGCCTACAGTGCGACCCTCCAAGGTGAGCCGAGTGGTACCTCGCTGGGATAGGCTTCCCCGCGAGGAGAGGCTGGTTCTTGGCGCCCCCAAAGCTCTCCCTCTCTTCCCCACCTCCTCGAGGAGGGGACAGCAATCACACAGCCCCAGTGTAGAATCCAGGCTCCATCTCACCTGCTAGGTGCTGCTAGCGGAGTGCCATGGTCTTCCAAGCCCCTCCGTTCGGAAGCCTTTAGGACTTGCCAAGGGGGCCCAGTGCCAGGCAGGGTCCAGGCGCGGTGGATGCAGGCTGTGTCTGCCACAGGACGATGGGGCAAGGGGGAGGGAGCTAGAGTTTGGAGTTTGACTCCTTGGAGTTTGACCCCTTGGTTTGCTTCCAGGCTGAGGGCTGATGGTTGGCACATACTCCCACCCCGCCCAAGGTCCCCATCTCTCCCGGGGCAGGGAGGGACGCTGCGTCCTCCTCTGTTGGCTGCACGGCGCCTCCTGGTTCCTGCACTGGACATCCAGTGCCGAACATCCCCACCCATCCAGTCTCCCCTTCCTGTGGCCCTCCTGGGAGGTAGTGGGTGCAGGGCAGGGCGGGACGCGCTGACGGGCTTCGGTGGGCGCACGAGCACTGAGTTAAGGTTGTTTTTCTTGCTCCTCGTCCCTCGTTGATTTATAGAGTGGTGAAGGAGAGAGTTTTCAAACAGGAGGCTGGCCTGGGTCTGAGCAGGCGGGCAAGTGATTAATCTTAGTTTGTTGCGCTGACAGCCAGGAGCAAGAAATAATGACGGTTTGCGGGGTGGGGGAGCAGGAAGGGAGCGCGGGGCGCAGACCGGCTGCCTGCCTTTCTCCTGGCCCCAGGGACCCCCACCATCGTGTGAGCCGCCCCTGGCCGGTTCAGCTCCGGAGCTTCACCATGACAGCTTGTTCCCGTGGGCAAGCCCCCTGCCCCCACCCACCTGAACGGTCCTGGGGCCCCCAGTCCTCCTCCTGCAGGCTCACAGGGAAGTGCTGCATGCTGCCCGACCATGCCACTGCTGCTGAGGGCCAGGGAGGGAGGGGGGGATGGCCACACTGGCATGGAGATGGGGGAGGGTGGGAATGGCCCCCCCCTAGAATTGCCCAGGGGAAAAGAAGGTGTTTTTTGTTTTTTTGTTTTTTGCTTTTTGGGTCACTCCCAGAAATGCTCAGGGGTTACTCCTGGCTCTGCACTCAGGAATTACTCCTGGTGGTGCTCAGGGGACCCTATGGGATGCCAGGGATTGAACCCGGGTCGGCCACGTGCAAGGCAAACGCCCTACCCGCTGTGCTATCACTCGGGCCCGAGAGAAAAGTTTCTAATGTACCCCATGCCTATACACATGCATGGATACTCATGCCTTTGCCCCGGGACAGGTCACTTTCAGGCCCCGGATGCCCACCTCTGCCGTGTCAGAGCAGGGTGGTCAGGCGGACAGCCTCTGGGCTCTCTGAAACTCGGTTTCCCCATTGGCACCTGAGTTTTGTCAGTGACGAGACACAGGTCTTTGTGGAGTGTGTATTGGCACGTGACTCACTCCAGATGTGAGTCAGGTACTTGGCCGTGGTTGGGTCTCCTCAGTTACCTCACAGGGAAGCATTTTTGTCACCAGCCAGGGCATCCGCTCTGCGAGTACACGCTAGGTTCAGGGGGCGGGAAGGGCTTGTTCAGGTCAGCTGGCCCGGTGCCCTGCTCCAGGCAGAGGGCCTGAGGCCCAGCGAGGGGGTGAAGCCTGCCCACCTCCTGGATTCCTGTCATCCTTCGTGGGGGGCCGGGGTAGAGGAGCACGGTGGGCTGTGACTTTGTCCTCGTTATGTGGAGGACTACGTCCTCTGGAGCTGATGGAGGGAAGATGAGCCTTCTCCTCCATTCCCAGTGACCCCCAGTCCCCTCAGGTTGAAAGGTAGGCCGGAGAGAGACTTCGGAGGGCCAAGCACATGCTCTAAGGGTGCCAGAGTTGAGCCCCAGCACCTCCCAGTCCCCCAAGCACCCTCAGGAGTGACCCTGAACCATGAGTCAGGAGGAGCCCCCGATCATTGCAGGGTGCAGCCAAAACACAGAAGCACTGTCCTCCCATTATTCATCAATTTGCTCGAGCAGGCACCAGTAACGTCTCCATTGTGAGACTTGTTACCGTTTTGGGCATATTGCATACGCCACGGGGAGCTTGCCAGGAGATAAATTGAAAATAGAAACAGAAGGTAGGACAGTGGGTCAGCCTGGGCTGGATCCCAGGCACCAACCACCTCTGGTCCCCTGAGCACTGCCAGGTGTGGGCCCAAGACCACAGCAAAACAGAAGACTCAGGAAAACTGTACCTTTCAACCTCACTTCCCTCTTTCACCGTACCCCAAACCCAAAGACAAGAGCCTTAAAATGGCTCAGTGGCCTCAGATGCCCCTGGCATGGGCCCTCTGGAGCAATAGTACACAGGGTAGGGGGCTTGCCTTGCACGCTGCTGACCTAGGTTCAACCCCTGGTCCCCCAAGTCCCACCAGGGTGATCCCTGAGCATCACGGGATGCAGCCCAAGAAATGAATAAGAACCACTGCCTGAGGCTGGAGCGATAGTATAGTGGGTAGGGCATTTCCCTTGCACATGGCCAACCCAGGTTTGATCCCCGGGCATCCCATATGGTCCCCCCAGCATCGCCAGGAGTGATTCCTGAGTGCAGAGCCAGGAGTAACCCCTGCGCATCTCTGGGTGTGACCCAAAGTGCTTTAACAAAAAAAAAAAAAAGAACCACTGCCTCCTACACCCACAGGTATGCAGGCCTATGCTAAATTATCCAGGGTGATGTGTGCGCTGGCGTCATCCCGGCCACCCCAGCGAGGAGGAGGTGGAGGGTTGGACCCTTTGGGGGTCCCTCTTCACTCTCAGCCCACTCAGCCCACTCTCCAGGACGGCCACTGGCCTGGCCATGCCACTCAAGCTGTTCCCCAGTATCTGAGCCACCTGCTTCCACTTCCTGCTGACTTCTGCTGTCACGCTGGCACCCACACACCAGCCCATGTCCCCGGCACAGCACCCCTCACCCCCAAAGCCCCCAGGTGATCTCTCCAAAGCCCAAATAGCATTCTTCCTGTCACTCTTCTCGAATAAGACAGATGGAACGATACTGCTGCCAGAGCCATCTGGGACTTGGGGTGCCAGAGGGACAGACCAGAGGCAGGTAGGCCTTGTGGGGAGGGACAGCCAGGTGGAGATTGTTCCCGAGGCTTGGGGACAGGCCTGGACCCCGCCTGTGGCTTCCGCCTGCCGGGGTCACCTCTGCCACCAGGGCAAGTGAAAGCTCTGTACAAATGCAGCTGAGGTTGTTTGCGGAGACTTAGATCACCACAGGAAAGCATTTGTGGTCTTACTCTGCCTTAGAGCTAGGTAAATAACTCTGGAGGAAACAGGAATCAGCCTTGGCTGGAAGCATTTGGCATTGGCCTCAGCTGGGGACAGCCTCCTTCCTGCCAGTTGTAACATCCCCACAGGCAGGTTCTGTTCCCGTTCAGTCCCTGTGAGTGGTCAGGGGTCAAGGCCTGCACGTGACTGACGGCAGCTCCCAGCGACCCCTGCTTCCAGAATGTTGTACGCACAACACATGGCTGGGGAGGCACCAAGCCCAGGTGAATGACCAGCTTTCTCCAGGCGGGGAGGCGGCCAGGGGTGTCCGATGGCTGTCCTCTCTGTCAGCTTGTGTATTCTAGGTGTGCTCTCTCTCTCTCTGATAATTAGGTCTTGTGGTTTGCTTTTAACCAGGCAGAGTAGGAAACTCAACTCCGGGCTGTGATGTGAGACCACCCGGTTCTGCTCCCAACTCCGTCTCTTGGACTGTCTCTGGGGATCCTTCTCATTGCTTCTGATATCCGGGGCACTCTCACTCGGGGTGACCGGATTGCCTGTTGCAACTCATATTCTCGCCTCCTGCTCATGGTGCGCTCTGGGTTTCTGCCGCGGGTACAGTGAGGGCCTCTGTCTTTCCACATCCTCAGAAGGGGGAAAAGAGGTTGGGGACAGATCCGTGTTGGGAACTCACTTGCTCCTCACGGGCAGGCCCTTGGGACCCCGTGGCAGAGTTCGCACCTGCGTGCAAAGTATGTGCTCCGTCCTGTGAGCTGTCTCCCCGGCTCTCCATTGTGGGGTTCAGCCACCCTTTTGCAGGTATTGAAA